TCAAAAAATAGAAATTTGTTTTCTTAAAAATTCCTTCAAAATTTTTTATTCTCCTCAGCAATGGCACCAAAAACATGATCCGTATCTTTTATGATAGTACTACGAAGTATCTGGTTATATTCTCAATTCTCCTTACTTATATTTCTTACTTTACAACAGCTCCAAAAACTTGTCTCCGAGGCAAATAAGAGTGCAATTATTTTTTTTAAATTTTGGGATACTACGCAAGTATACGTATCGTTATCAAGTAATATAGGACTTTTTAATTAAGCCCCAAATATCGAACCCACAGGGAGAATTACAATCTTTTAAATTAAAATAAATTAGATAATAAATTCTATTTTGCAAAATATTCTTACTCAAACTATATATATTATAATAGGAATGAAAGTTTGATTCTTTTTGGTATTTTTTTATATTTTTTTATAAAGTAAACAACTAACTAAATTTAACTAGATATTTGTAAGATGAAGGCAATATAAATAAACTATCTTTTTCCTTATCGTGAATTACTATCTTTTTCCATCTTTTTCCTTATCGTGAATTAGTAACAAGTATAAGATTTTTGTTGTGGAAGTGTTCAAATAATGTTATGCTAAATAGGAGAAATATTATTCTTTACCCTTATTAGAGATGTTATAAAGAACATTGACTAATTTAAAGTTTGAATAATCTTTAAGACGGGCTAGATAGAAAAGATACTAGCCCTCACTCTAGAGTTCCCTTTTCTCCCTCCACCTAGTGGTTAACATCTTATATTAAAACCTAAAACTATAAACCAAATTAGGGGTTTTAGTTAACATCTCATATTAAAACCTAAAAATATAAACCAAATTAGGGGTTTTAGCTTGTCACTCAAAAGTCCTCTAACTCTACACCCTTCAAAATTTATTTCCATGTTTATTTGCATTCAATCATATGAATTACATTCTCATCCATACAATCTCATGTGATTTTCACCATTAATTGACTGAGACAATATCATCTCAGATTTTACATGTTCTCACAACAGATATTAATATCTTAATTGGCCAAATCAAGAAGTAAATAAAGTACAAGGTTTAAAATCATCACAATTTATTCCAACATTAAAGGTTAATACTTCACACAATTTTCATCCAACACTTAATTACTTATCATTTTAAGGAGAAAGATAAAGAAAACTGCTCAGAATTCATGGAGAAAACACAACCACACTTAAGTTTAAAAGTAGAAATCATGTAAACACAAAAGAAGTCTAAATTAAAACCAAATGTAGTCACACAAAGATAAAAAATTATCTCAAATTCCTCTCCACCAACTCTTGAAGCTTCTTTGAATCTCTTCTCTTCTTTTCTCTTACAATAGATTCCTCTCCACCAACTCTTGAAGTTCCTTTGAATCTCTTCTCTTCTTTTCTCTTACAAAACTCTCTACTAACACACTACAACTCCTCCCTTTCTTCTCTCTAAGAGTATTGTAATTAATCTATGAGAGAGAGGCATCGGCTATTAATTGAGACTCTCTCTTTCCATTCAATTCAAGTCTTCTTTTATAACTTTCCAAAAGATGTTTTGGTGTCTCTTCAAAATATGTCTACATTGAATTAATCTTCCAAGAGTTGCCTCCTTTCAATAATCATTTGAATGTATTTTTATGTCAATTAACCATAAACTACCTTTTCACCAAGAGTTGCTTCAAAAACCATTTAAAAATTTGTCCAAATTCAATGAATCATCAAATAACTACCTTTGGCGCTTAAGCGTGAGGTATGCGGCGCTTAGGCGCCGTCTTCTCTATTATCCTATCCCATAAGCGCTAGTCCTAGGCGCTTAAGCACCACAGTTCTTTTGAACAATTTTTTCATTTTTGCTCTAAATTTGATTCTTTTTCACACATTTCACCATTTTTCATCCATTTGACTGTATCTGAAAGAAAAACACACAAATACCTTCCATTAAAGCACTATTTCCTCAAAAATATGTATAAAAAGGTATACATAAATGTTATATACTTTAGGTGTATCAACCTCCGATCAATAGATAAACTTAATTCAATCTTCCAATAAGGATCTAGCGCACTTTATAAAACATTTTCAAAATTACAAGTTTACCCCTTAGCCTTTAAGAGCTTGATAGTGAATTAGGTTATATTTAATATCATTTGAATGAGGTTAGAGAAGAAAATATAAATGATGAAAAACACATTAAAACACTACAAGCTCAAAATTAATTAAGAGAAGAAAGTGTAAAATTCTCTAACAGTCAATTATACCCTTACAGGTGTTTACCTATTTAATTCTTAACATGACATTGAAAGGGTAACCATTTACCTTACTCATGGGCTAAGTAAGACAGCAGAGCCACACCAAGTATGGTTAAAACATGAAAGACTCGTAATGTAGTTTAGTTTATCAACTCAACAATATAAAAAAAGATCAAGTGAAGTTAAAATGATCCAGGTGATTCTAAAGTTAATTGTGGTCATATTCGGAACATATTTGCAAGATTTTGGATATTTTAGAGAATGCGTGGGTTGGTTATAATTTATTGGGAAAAATCCAAAAAAAAAAAACATAATAACCTACCAAGATATGACTCGAGCAGCTGCAACTCATAAAAAAAATGAGGAATTCCTGCTACAGCTTAACCTACAATAAAACCCAATGTTCAAGGGTATGAGTCATGGATATGGTATTGATACCCTTGTAAGAAACTGAGGATATTTGAGATAAGGCGATATATGAATCATCGAGCTGGGCTATAAGTTGGATGGTTTGGGGTTAAAGGAAATGATGTGAAACACTTCCAGAGCTAAAAGTGGGATAACATAATAGTATCTCTTAGCTCAAGCACCTTCGGGAAAAGTGTCGAATCAATAGTAATATTCATCAACATTTTGTGATAAGTTGTCCATTTCTTTCTTAGGTTACTGGTGGCTCTAGTCTAATCAGAGAGATTAATTTTGTGGACTGTTTGACTTACAATACACACAGACACACACATAACATAACAAAATATTTTTTTTCTCGTGACACTGTTATTTTATATTGCTAAGTAAAAATTTCACTTTATATGCTTGACAAATTAAGAATTTTGGATTTTATCCTACACAAGTCTACTTTTTAATCACTTTGATCGGGCTAGGAGTTGCTATCCTCTAATTGTTTGGTTGGTATTTTTTAACGGATTTAGACTGGACAAATCACACAAATTGCTTATGGTTATCTATGGATATCCCTTGTTAATTATGAGTTTGAGCCTACCCCTAACTTGAATTCTTATAGTCAGTTCCGATCTTCCACATATGTGCCACTTGACTTTTGTTTACACTCTACACATGTCTTTCATGCTTGTTTAATCTTTCATAATATTTGCATGCTCTACTTGTAATTCTAACTCCTTTCAGCAACAACATCGCAGGTGGTAGGTGCGTACTGCCACTTTCTTTTTAACCGCACTTTCTTATTGGGCTTTACTGTATATATTTCATTATTTTGTTTACAATATCTATAAAAGACTCATAAGGTAGACAACGATATGGCATATGTTTAGGAGGGGCACTACACCAAGCACTGGGACTCAACAATAATTACATGATCACATACGAACCCTAAATTCTGCAACCATCGCGGTAAGAAGTTCAAAAGAAGTTGCAAGTGTACAAAAGACAATTCTAGATAACGATCAAGACTCAAACGAAGCGGATCTACTTCAACAAAACTTTCTTTATACTTAAATAATATAAACCCTTAGGACTTTAAGTTTGTTCATTTAGTATGAAATAAATCCTCACACTATCTTCAGGCTTTTGCACAATCATGTTGTGCAAACTATATTCTAACTCTTTTTAGGTCTCTGAGGTTGTCTGTTCGGTACGACTTATATCCTCATATCTTTCTAGGCTATTTGCAGATCAAATGTTGTGCAAGTATAAGCCCTAAAATATTTTTTAATTTATATAATCAAGCCCACCGCCAAGTAGTATGTCTATCTCTTTGGATGATGTATTACTTGTGGTGTCGTACTCAATTGCTTAAACTATCAATATATATATGAGATCTATTCGGTCATATTTTCAAAATTAAAATGCTCTTTTTCAAAATCAAAATTATACCCATATTAAGTTTAATTATTTCCAAAGCAACCGAGAGAATTCCAATCTGGCGACTGACAAAACTATAAGCTCATAACCATTCTATCAATAGATACACTCATATATGCAAGGATAAAAACTTCAATGCTATCTTTACTAAAAAATAGAGCCTTAAATATTGCATGAAAAAAAGTTAAAAATGGAAAATTGGTGATGTATGATGGGGTGGTAGTCTTTGCAATTTTGCCCAAAATATAATCCTACACAACCAAAATAAGCTACACAGATGTCATGGGCCAACAAGTCAAAAAATCAGGATTGAAGAAATGTCAAATTTGAAAACCACAAAATATCCTTAACGAAAAACTAAATTTTCCTCAAGAAATCTAAATAAATCTAAGAAAATTGAAGAAAAATTTAAGCTAAGAGCGGACATGCTAATATAGAGATAATACGCGACAGGAAAAATTAACAAGATATATTTGAGTGATACTTAGATAACGCTGTAGCCTATGAATAATAGAGAAACCAAAGATGATTGAGCAAGTACAATTGCCGAGACAACACCAAAGATGAAGAATGAACGAAAACCTTAGGTAGAGAATTCGTCTCGCTCTCAGGACCGAAATGATAAGAGATGGAATGATAAGGATGAGGAAGGGGAGGGGATGCTAAGAATAGGAGTCTCTATTAAGAGATCAAAGTGTTTTTAAAGGTATATAGGATTTTGATTTATACGATCCGAATGATCCAATGGTTGAAATTAAGATTCTATTTTAAATATTAAATATGTGTTTAATATCAAATATTTTTTATCGACAATTTTTCGATAGAATTAATTTTTTAAAGTAAAATAAAAAATTTATTCACACTTGTCAGTTGGGTTTGGGTCTCTCACTAAAAGCACATAATCCGGCCCGGCCCGCCCAAGGAGTTGCCCACCACCACTGCTGCTTCCTTCTGAAGGTTTTTCAATGCCTCATCTGTGGATCTTCGATGTTCCAAGCCAGCGTTGCCTCTTGGACAGGTCAGTCGAGGACTGTCGAAGAGCCATGGCGGTTGCTGCATGCTCATTCTTTTTTCTACTCCTTATCCAAACGTCGGTTTCCTCCGCCTCTCTCGATCGCCGGCGGACCATTGTCGAAGTGGAAGGCGGGCCGGATGGCGTGGTTTGGGTTGTGCAGCTCTCTGATCTCCACTTCAGCGTATTTCACTCCGAGAGGGCTGTTGATTTCAAAAGGTTTATCGGCCCGGCCCTCTCAATGATCAACCCCGCCCTCGTCCTCATCACTGGCGACCTCACGGGTATGTTCTCTCTACTCTTCTGTTTCTTATCTTCTTTCTTTTTATATTTTTTTTTGTCGATTGGGCATTCGGATCGACATCTTTTGTTTTGGGCATCCGAGTTTTCTGTTGGATGCGAATGATGGGAATAATTGGGCAAGGTTTGTTTGGATTGCTTGAAAGGATAAAATTGAAATTATAGAATAAGAAGCTTTACTCCAAAGAATTTGATTTTCCCAAGAATATCTAAGTTTAGAAGAATAATCACGGTTACCTCAATAGCAAAAGCAAATGCAGCGTAAAGTAAATCAAAATGCGATAGATTTTACAGCATTTTTCTCGAAGCACTTCAGCAATAAATTTATTTTTCTCGTTAAAAAACCTGTTTGAGGGGGCACCATTTTAAAGGAAAATATGGATTTCGGATCATCAATAGGAGCCTGGCCCAAAGTTTGATTTAGGGCGTTCATGATATTGCTTTATGCTTGCTTTGCCACAGGTTTTGTTTGCTTAGAGGTCGTGAAGTTTCTTGTCAAGAACATTTACTAAGGGGAATTTTCTTTAAGATTGTAATTTAAAACTTCTCGATAAACCAACTTTCTGACATCAACTTAGCAAATGAACCAAATTTGTTCAATCTGGTTGAACCCTAGTTTCCCTACTCAAACAAGTTAACTGGAGTTTGTTCATGTATGAACAGCTGCAAGAGGGTCCAAATAGAGTTGGAATGCTCTAACTTGTCAAAAACAAACATGACTCAGCTAGATCTACAATATTCGTCCATGTAAGAAGGTTCTCATAAGGCCATCTTTACCTGAGGTACACGTGCAATATCACACAGATGTCTAGCCAAAGATTTGAAACATATCAGTGACCTTGGTTGTTTTCTATATTTTATGTATCCTTCAGGAAAATTTGAAGATGCTTTGAGATTGTAGGAATTTTTGCAGGTATTATGATCTTCATCATTCGTGGTTGGCTTTGAAATGATCCTTACAAGATAAAGAAGGACTTCATATTTTTCTGCAGGACCTGAAATTTAATGTTAGCAAGATCTCAAAATAAAAAACACCATTGCTTCTTAGAGTTGCTACTGCCTCCTTGGTTGATGACAATTAAAATTGACTCAACACCACCTTCATACATGCATCCGCACTATTTGCCCACCATGGCCTATTTTTTATCACTGATGGCAAGCATTGATTTTGCTTCTCAAATTTGGGAGCCTCCTCATGATTCTTCAAGATTTGAATCTACCAACCTAGCTTGTTTAGTTTGGTTCAATGTTTGAGGCAATTTACGTATTTTTTGCAAAGTAAATAATAACTTGATAAAGTGGACGTGATCATTATCATGTATTCTAGATTGCATAAGACAAGAAAAGTTTGATCATTGTTATTTTAAGTGCTAAAAGCAAATGCAATGTAATGTAAATCAAAATGTGATAGATTTTCATGTAAATTTTTTGTAGTGAATGTAATTGATATGCCACCAAGAAATTTATATGATAAGGCATAAATCTTGATGCGTTTTGGGTAAAAGATCTTTCAAATTCAAACTCTAGATTTTCTAAGCTTTTATTTGAACTAAGTTATAGTTAAACGGAGCATCTTGGCAATACAAGACTAAAATTGATTTAAATTGAGTCTTGATAAGCCTAGATCAAACACTTGAAGTAGAGTCGAAGGCTTTAGTGTGTTAATTGGAAGACTAAACGATATCAAAATTTGGTATTTTTATAGTCAAATTGAATAGAACGACAAGAGGAATCCAATGAGTTCAAGATCATCTCATTCTAAGGTTAATGATGTTCTTAGATATTGAAAAATGAGCCATGATCAAAGAAAATAGTGTGGACAACCCGATAGATTGTTTTGAGATTCTAACTAAATTTACTAAAATGCATCTCTAAAAGCTATAAATATGCTCTTAGTCTTCACTTGAAAAGGAAATGAGAATAAGAAATCAAGTTTACTACTAAAACTTAAGCCTTAATGTCCTGGCAGTTGTTGCTTATCACCCTAGTTCACAATCAGTTACTAGAATTCGTCGTCAATCACCAGAGACCATTGTAGATCACATGTGATCATTGTTAATAATTAGCCCTTATCGACCACTATAAAAATTTGTTGCAGCCAACTGTGACTGTTGTAGCTTAAATACTAATATTTGTAACTAACTGCTGTTGTTATAGTCACCAATTATAGTTTATGTAGCCCAATTATGGCTGTTGTAATCAAATTACTTCTATATATCCGTGTTTGTATTATATTTAAATAATCTTAATTTCATGCATCTGCTAGCCATCAACATCTTTTAATGATTTAGATTTAAAATAAATTTTGATTATTTAAATATAATATCATGAGTTGAAAAGGTAGATGATCTGCTTTAGAATCTTAACAATTTAATGGTGGTGAATGTAGGAGGCTCTGCTAGGGTTTCGCCTCAATGCGAATCTTAGCCTCTGCTACGACATTTTCACGCTCGAAGAAGTAGGGGGAGTTCACTCCTCTGTTTCGTCTTCTGTCGTCTTCTGTCGTCTTCGTAGAGTTTCGTCGAGTTGCGCTTGTCCGCGGCCCAATTGCAGTTCGTCTTCCACGGTTTCAAACCGATTGCGGCTGTTGTCTTCCATCGCCTTTGTTTGCGGCTCGTGCGACCCTTTCGCCGCTGTTTCGTTTGTCTTCGTAGAGCTCGTCGAGCTATGCCTTCCGCGGCTTCAACTTCTTCGGTTTCTCCCCCTACTTCGAGCGTGAAAACCGTAGCAGAGGCTAAGATTCACCGTGAGGCGAAACCCTAACAGAGCCTCCTACATATACATATATATATATATATATACATATATATATATATATATATTTATATTTATATATATAATTTAAAATAAGGAATGTCCTGAGGTTATTATACGAGCTTCCAGCCACCCCTAATGTGCTTAACAATTCGAATTGTGCTAGAGGGGATTCGACCCCCAAACCTGAGGTGTCTTATACCGTGGATGACAACCAACAGGCCGAGATACACACACACACACACACACACACACACACACACACACAC